CGAGTGAAGGGGACAGCTGGGCTTGGACTGCGGGGCCGTGGGGGTAGAGCTCGGAGAGAGCCCGGGGAGTGGTCGGGGGCCCGAGGGACGGGGGCAGCGGGCCTCGGAGAGACGTGGGGGGGCGTCGGAGGGCGTGGGAAAAGGACGGCGGGCCTGGGCGGGGGGCTGTGTTGGCGCCCAGCCAGGGGGCAGCGGGGCGGGGGAGGGGAAAGCGGGGCGGGGAGGGCAGCGGGCGGGGGGTGGGGCCCCAAGGGGGCAGGGCCTGGGCTGCAGGGCCGGCGTCGGCATCCTCCCCCACCTAAGGTCACCGCAGTAAACAAAGGCCATGCCCTACTCCTCAGAGGGTCTGGTGCTGCCCCCCACCCCTTGAGGGTAAGCCTGGATGTTTTGATGTGTGGGGAGAAATGTCAAAACAATCTGAATGTAGTGTGGAGGTGGGGAGTGTCCCAGCCAGAAACGGGGAAATGACGGGCTGATTTCTAAGGGTTCTTGTGGCTGTCTGGGCCTGCCCTTTTCCACAGTGATGTCTCCGGTTAGCTGACCTGCTGAAGGCATCATCCACACTCTCGTGGCTGTCACCTTACTCCCAAACAGGACAGAAAATGTTCCTTTTGAGCTAGGTCCCTTCCTGGCCCTTTGGCCTCGGGTTGGTTGGGGTCTTAAGTATATGCTGAACATCTTAAGTTGACTACTGGACACCCGGAAATCAACAGGAATGACATTTGGATTAGTGCAGGCACAATCGGTGTGAAAAGGTTGGCCGACTAGAGGGGAGGGAAACAGTGTGCAAGTTCTCAGGACTTGACTCTGAGAATTCTCAGGGTAGACTTGAGAATCCTAGACTTAGGATTAGACTGTCCTGGGTTATGTCAGACTTAACAGTGAGAGAATATGCACATATATACATGTAATTACAGGTTTTCCTTAACCCCGCTTGTTGGGAATTTTAAAATGAAGATTTCCCCCTGCATTTCTTAGTGGAATTGTAAACCATTCCAAAACCCTTGAACTTGAGATCTTCCAGCCTTCTGGTGATGAGCATCCTGAAGATGGTTGCCTGTTAGAGGCAAACATGCTCTGTTGAGTAGCCCATCTTCTGCAGTTGTTTGTCTGTTGTACCTGTAATGAAGAGTCAGGAAGAAGCAGTGCTTTAGGCCTTGCCTTTCAGGCCGCTCAAGTTCAAGAACTTCCTACTCTAGACTGCTAGGACCTTGACTGCTGTCAGTGTCGGGTGAACAACTGGCCTATGTGGGTATTGATAGGTATTTATGGTGCCTGGTTAGCATACAAGATAACCCTGCTATGTGCCTCACCGGTGCTTTGAACCAGTACTTCTTGCCATAGTGGCCTGATTAGTAAAATATGCTTTAGAGGTACTTGGGGTTTGCTTATTTAAATATTTATAACCAAGTAGTCAGCCAGATGCCTTCTCGGCAGTGTTTGAGAGTCAGAGTGCTGGGTAAATGGGAGATGTTTGACTTATTTATAGAACAATAGATTTTGGCAGAAGTTTAACCTCAGGATAAAGGAGCTATACTGAAAAGCCAATCCATTAGCCACCCTTTCATGGGCATAGAAAATAAGTATTTTGAAACTTTTTGTTCCCTGAGATTTTTGCCAAGCAGTTTTGTACTTTCTGAAAATTGATTCTAACAACCAAACTGTGATGTAGTGTCACATGCCATTCAGAGATGTGAACTCTTAGAGAGGGCAGGCTCTGTCTGGGAATGCAGCTTAGTCAGTCATGTCCCTTCAGCCCCCACCTGGTTCCCGCAGCCTCAAAAAAAAAAAAATTGACCTCCATCCAGAGCAGTGGGACATCAAGGGAAGGAAAGAGGGTTGAGAGACTGTTTTGAACCACCATGTACACATCCTGCCCAGGGTCTTCTGCAGGCATATGGGTGGTGGCACTTTGACATCTACTAGCTTAGGCAGAGCCGGGCACACAGCATTTGATCATGTGGGCTAACCTTTTCCAGGGAGTTCTATTTTGATGACCCCTCTGATGTGTTCTAAGGTGGATCACTGGGATCCTAGGGTTAGAGTCCCTGGCTTGCCTGTCTGTTATGGTGTGTGGGGTTTTTTGTTGCTGCTTTTTGTTTTAAGACAGGATCTCACCATGTAGCCCTTGCTGGCCTTAAACTCAGAGATCTGCCTGTCTCTCTGCCTTCCGAGTGCTGTGTGCTGCCATGTTGGGCCCAGAGTGTGCCTCTTGCGTGGGATTAAATACTGCCAGGCTTTTTCTGTCACCCTTGGCTCTCAGCCCTCATTACTGTCCTTTCAAGCAACACCCTCGGGGAACTGAAACATGAAATGGGTGATTTGGAATAAGATGGGCTAGAAAGGCAGATCTAAAGGAAAGTTTCAAGAAAGATAACCTGAAGACCATGGGATGGATTGACTCCATCCATACTATAGTTTTCTACCATTAGTTTGAGGAGCCAGTTGAGCATGAGTAGAGTTGGATCGTCATCTTGAAGTCTGTGTGACCTGCACTCTAGTGCAAGTGTAATTGAAAACACTCCTAACTGTCCCGCTTTGCTGTTCCTCATAAAGCACTTCGTTCCTCCAGTGGGGTCCCCCTGTTGTAAGCCTGGCACTTGGGGCTTTGGATTTCTTCCTGAGGTTTCTGTGATTTAAAATGTGTAAGACTGTGGTCATTAGACCTGTTCCCATGCCTTCCCTTGTGGCCTGTGCCAAGAGGCGGCAGGAAAGTCTGTAGTGGCAGTAGTGCCCTGCCAGCTTATTATTCACGTCTTCTGTAACACCACCTCTTCAGAGGGAAGCAGCATCATGAGTCCGTTTGATTGTCCAAGTTTTAGAAAGTCCAATCTCAGTCTTCCACTGTCTAAGCCAGCCAGATATGGAGTGTGCCACTGCCCACATACCTGTAGATGACCCCTGGGCAGGATTTATTTGCTGGTTTAAGCAGCCTCTCTGCCCTGTCTTCTCCTGGCATATGTTGCTCTGGAGCTGATATTTTTGAGGCGTTGGAAAACAGTAGAAAGCCCTTTGGCTTTTGCTTGGACTGTGCCTCTTGATAACTTTAGTTTCTTTTTTAATTATATGTGAATGAGTGTTTTGTCTACATACTGTTACTTTGTGAATGCAGTGCTCGTGGAGGCCAGAAGAGGGCGTTGGATCCCCTAGGGCTGGAGTTAGAGACTGTTCTGTGCAGCCAAGTGCTCTTAACTGCTGAGCCATCTCTCTAACCCCTTCTTGATAACATTTTTAAACAGAGCCCATACTCTGATGTTGACTTTGTTCTCCACCCCAAAGAAGCCAGAGTATCTTAAGGAGGAGCTTGTAGAGTGGGCTAGGCTGGGGTCCAGGTTGTCCAGTGGTGTGTAGTAAGCCAAGGTCTGTTCAGTTGCACAGTATAGGCCCAGCCTACAAAGTGCCAGGTGCGGGAGAGGCAGGGCAAGCATAAGCTACTGGTTTGGCCCCTGCTTTTCATCCTTATTTCATCTCTGGAAGCAAGGAGGAAAGTCTGAGGATGTGATTTGTAGAATGGAGGTTTCTTGCCCACTGTATAAATTGGTTCCTCACCCTTCGTTCCAGTTTCTCTGTGCCTCAGCTGCCCATCTTTTGATGGTGGTCAGATTTTATGACGTGCTTAAGCATCCTTTAGGAGCTAAAACTTGGTAACATTTTCATCTTTTTACCTTACAACATTGAAGGGCTTCTGAACAGTGGTGGGCCATGAGAATGGTCCAATCTCACTATGACTTTCAACAGGAAAGATGCCTTTAAAAGAAATTGTGTGTATGTGGTGTGCTTGTATGCATGTATGCTTATGTGTGTCTTCTTCAGTCCCTTTCCACTTTATATATTGAGGCAAGCTCTCTTACTTGAAACCAGAACTCTACAGTTTGGCTCACCGAGTTAACCAGCTTGCTCCAGAAATCCAGTCTGTGCTTCCTGAATGGGGATAACAAAAGGGATGCCACACCTAACTTGCATAGGTGCTGAGGATCCAGACTCTGGTCCTCATGCTTGGGTAGTCAGTGTGTTATCTACTGAGCCAGACATCAAAGAACTAAATTTACCCATGTTGGAGGAAAGTCAAGGCTGAAGTCCTTGTGCTACCCAAAAAAGAACTTGATATTCAGAAAGATTTCACATAGTTCTGACAGCATACACACACACACACACACACACACACACACACACACACACACACACACACACACACACATATACAACCTTGCAGGGCAGATCTGGACTGAGACAGTAATGGTGGGACCATACCTTGACCAGGTCTGCTTAATTATACCTACTTTTCCCCTATGTTTGAAGTTCTAGGAGGGTCCATCCTGGGCTTAGCATGCTTACTGGGTGTAGCAGCCCAACATGTTTGTAGATGTCATGTAATCAAAAACTAGTACACCTTTGGACCTCAAGTCAATACTCTAGTGATAGCCTGGCGGGGTGATCACTGGATCCCTTTTTGTTGTTCTTCCCATTGTGATTACATTGAATAAACCCCCTTTTCTATGTTTTATTATTTGTCTTTTTAACTGGTGTGTTGGAGATGGGTGGCTGAACCTAGATATTTGGGGATACTATTATCTAGGCTTAGTCCCTAAAAATTGTGGTAGCATCATTGTAGCTTTCAGAGCCCCCATCCTGCAGTGCCTTTGGGCCATGGCTTGCTTCTGCTTTGGAATGATGTTATTCTGATAAGTAGCAATGATACCCTGTGCCACTCTGCTGTCATTGCCCTGTGAGATGACCTTTGCCTTGCTGTTAGATGGCTCCCCACTTCCTTGTTAACGTGATTATTTTTTGGTTTTTATTTTTAGGTTTTGGGTTTTGGGTTGTTGTGTTTTTCTCTTTATTTTTCAACAGAGTTTCACTGGCTGTCCTGGAACTCAAACTGTAGACTAGGCTGACCTTAAACTCACATAGATGCCTGCCTCTGCCTCCCAAGTGCTAGGATTAAAGGTGTGCACCACCACTATCACCCAGCTGGGTTTTTTGTTGTTTTTGGTTTTGTTTTGTTTTCGAGACAGGGTTTCTCTGTGTAGCTTTGGAGCCTGTCCTGGAACTCACTCTGTAGCCCAGGCAGGCCTCGAACTCACAGAGATCCACCTGGCTCTGCCTCCCAAGTGCTGGGATTAAAGGTGTGCACCACTACTGCTTGCCTGGCAAGATGTATTTTTATGCTGCGTGTTTTGCCTGCTTACATGTCTGCACCACATGCATACAGTTCCTGAGGAGGCCTGAAGAGGATATTGAATCCCCTGTAACTAGAGTTACAGTACGGTTGTTAGCTGCCATATGGATACTGGGAAATAAACCAAGGGCCCTCTGGAAGAACAGCCAGTGCTCTTTTAACTGCTGGAGTGACCAGCATCTGGGCTTGTCATTCAGTGTTCTTTTCCTGTCCCTAGACAGAGTGATGTTCTGGGTTAGGTTCATGTGATCCATCAACCTTTATGGACTGTTCAACTTGAGGGACATAACTTTGTTTTTTCTTTCTTTCTCTCTTAATTTTTGTGTCATGTCCTCTGTAAGTGGAGTTACAGGTAGCTGTGAGCCATCAACTAACATTGTATATCTAAACACAGTCCAGCCTCTGCCTTAGCAAGAGAGTTCTATCTTCAACCATCCAGGATTGTTAACTGCATGTAGATATTGCTGCTGTTAAGATAACACAAACGATAAATGTTTTTGGGGGGTGGTTTTGGTTTTTTAAAATTTTTTATTTGATTTGTATGTGAGTATGGAGTGTGAGTGTTCATGTAGAAGTCAAGAGGACAATTTGTGGAGGTCCTGTCCCCTTCACCATGTGGATTCTAGGAGTTGAAATCACTTTGTGAAGCTTGGCACAAACACCCTTAAAACTAACGAACTGTCTTGTTGCTGGCCCCTAAATAAATGTTTTTGCCTGTTCTGTTTCTGAACCCCTGATTCCAGTGGCATCTTTTAGGTACTGGTGTCTTCCTGGTAGCATTTATCAGACTTACGTATGGTAGAGAACCAGGTAGTGTAAATTCAATCTTTGTAATAGTACTAAATCGCTGCCAGAATTCCTAGGTCCTCCTTTCTCCTGTGTTGGGCCCAGTAGCAATGTAAGGTCTGTACTGAACAAGCATGCTAATGGGGCTCAAGAGGTGCAGCCTGCTGGGATGGTGGGACAGAACTACAAGACTGCAAACTAGTGAGTCTACATTGCCACCCACCCATAACATAGACACAAGTTGGAGTTGCTTAGTCCTTCTACCCAGAAGTCCGTGGAGGAGGCCTTTTGCTGTCCTCATATGTATGCATGTCCTGTGTCCAGCTGCTCCTCTCCTGCTAATTATCGGACTCAGTGCAGCCCTCTTCATAGGTTCTACAGGCTCTTGACACAGTATGTGGCATTGGCTCCATGAAAAAGTGTAATTCACAGTTGTCAGTGGTCATTTGTTCCCAAAACAGAGTATTCCAGGGGTGATTGTCAAGGCATGAAACTATAGTAGCCACAGAAGAGTAAAGCTAGCGGTATATTCCACCTTTCTTGAAGGTCCTGATCCAATAGGCTCTTGGCCTCAGGCTGTCCTGTCCCTGTGGACCTGGCAGCTGGCAAGGGTGGTATGCTGTCCCCAGAGAATACTGCTTTGGGTGCAACGAGTCACTGACGTAACTGGTGAAGTGAGTCACCATTCCTCTTGGCGGGCAAGTTCAGCTCAGAGTCCAGGTCCTTAAAAGAACTCAGAGGTCATTTTTCATCTACAAGTACATTGTAGATGAAGTCACTTTTTGGGTAAATGGATAGGCTGCCCTGCCTGTAGGCAAGAAGAATAAGATCTATTGCTTATTACTAGTGTTCCAAAGAGTTTTTGTGGAATAGTAAGTGGAGTTCTTAAACCTAGAATGGTTACTGGCAACTATTAGATCCAGTTATTCTTACAAATCTGCAGCATTGGAGATAAGCTTTAGGCCCACGTGTTCTGGAAACAGCCATCTGACAAACCAAAATGACTTGTGTCTATGGTTCTTGGGTGGACACCCAGACAGAGTTGTTAACATTAGGGTGTCCCTATGCCTTACCCCACCTTCAATCTGAGTGACTCATTAACCATTTGTTTCTTCAGCTCCCTGTGAAACTCTTGCTGACCCCTCCCATCTCAGTTGACAAGAGAAAGTGAGTCACCAAGAAGTAGCCAGGCTGCTCAGTCCACAACTTATCTACCCAGGGTAGACCCGGGTCATGTGTGGTTGTATCAGGCTCTGGGGAAGGCCATGTTACCTTTTCCTGGAAGTGCTTTCTACTAGAAGCAACCTGTCAGGCAGAAAGGCCAATGTGGTACAGTAGGCTGTTTTCATCCAGAGCTCCTGGATGTACCATGTGGAGGCAGAGGAAAATCCCAAGCAGCTTGGGCCAGGTAGACTGAGGAACACTTAGGTGGAAACCTGAAGGAAACATGAGAGGGACACACTTATAAATAAAACCATCTTCTTGTCTCCAAACTCCTAGGCTCTAGTCACCATAGCGTTTGTCACAAACTATAACAAAAACTATGTGCCATGCTTCTATTGCAAAGGCGGAACTGACCAGGGTTTAGGAAGAGAGTCCATTCTGGTCTCTTGTCCCTAAGAATGGCACATGCCTTTAATCCCAGCATTTGTTTGAAAGACAGAGATAGGCAGATCTCTTGAGTTCAAGGCCAGCCTGGTCTACAAACAAAGCTGGGGGAAGGGAGGCATACCCCTTGGTTTAGTTGAGGATCTTTGCCAAGCCTGTGATAGTTTGGTTAGAGATGACTCCTGGAGTCATGAGGGGATTGAGACTATTTGAGAACTGATGAGAAACTGTTAAGATGTGTGGGTAGATGTCAAGCCTGTCTGGCCTGAGGCTTGAAGGAGAGAATAGAGTAAAACCCATCTCTGCTCTCTTTGGGAGACTCAAGCACATTCCAAAAGGCCTTTCAAAGCAGCACAGAAGCATCCTATTACTTTGGTGCGCTGGGTGAGTCGAAAGATTGGTGCCAGCAACTCTGGTGACTGACTTATAAGTGCAGTGGGTATAGGGTAGAAATGGAAGGTGGGATACCAAATAGATTTTCCTATGTATTTTTTTGAGTAAAGATAGCTTTCTGTGTTGGTCAGCCAGCAGTACAATCTCTTAATTGGAAGTAAAGAGCATCTGTCATTTGGTCCATCTCAGGAAACTCAGTGCAGTAAGACCTAGGGTGTGGTTCACAGGCAGGGTTTTGGCCTAGCCATGTGCAAGGCTTCTGGATTCCATCCCCAGCACTTGTTTTTTCTGCAGCAAGCATTGGGTTATGTGGTAGACACGAAATGATGTATATAATTTTCTTTCTTTGCCAAGGTACGGACATTGCTGCAGGAGAAGAAGTTGCCATCAAGCTTGAATGTGTCAAAACCAAACATCCTCAGCTCCACATTGAGAGCAAGATCTACAAAATGATGCAGGGAGGAGGTAAGGTTCATTGGGGTTAAATGTCTGCCCGTAGCCTGGCTTACAGGTACAGAAGACCTTACCCAAGAAAAAGAAGCATAGTCTTGCTTATTTTGCTTAAAAAACTAACTTTCTTAGCTTCCCATTAGATGATAATGTCTGAAATGTGGGTTTTGTGAAAGGTTCAAAATAAACATACCAGTAGTGCTGCCTGTCACATCACAGTGCTTCCTGCTAGTTGGCCTCTTCTGGGCCACATGCTTTCCTTAGAACTAGAGAGTAGTCCCATCAAACTCTCTGAAGCTCGTTTCCTCTTGGATAGGAATTTTGAGCGTGACTTCTCTGACTCTCCCAGCTAAGTAAAACATCACCCCAAGACCTTGGAGTACTGGAGCCAGTGGTGGGCCAGTCTCACTTCTAGAATTCTGGGAACTTGTAAATAAATAGTATGACCAATAGAGCAGGTGCTCTTATTTGAGGCTTTCAAGACCGTGAAGTCTCCTATCCTAGATGATGGGGCTGAACCTTCAGAAGAACTCACCAGCAGGGTTAGGATCAGGGTTCTTCTGAAGGCATAGCCCCATGTCCTCTGATAGGAGCCTGCTTTTGGCAGGCTTTATACCTGAAAAGTGGCCATACTTCGTGGTCCTTTTTAGCAGAAGCCTCCATAGTGCCATGGTAGTTGGAACAGGAAGGAGAGAGAGTGTGCGTGCGCACGCACACTACCACCCCTTGTGACAGCCACCCTCTTTCTTTTTTGCTTTTCCTTTCAGATCTTTTGCATATGTGTTAATGGTTTCTATGTGTGTCTCTGCATCTGTATGTTTCATGTGTTCTTTCTTTGACTCTCTTTCTTCTGTTAGTTTGTTTCATCCTACTCAATTTTACTGGTTTCATTTTTATCTTATTGTCTCAAAGGGAGGTCAGCAGAGGCCCAATCCTATACACCTGCCCTTTGGCATCATCCTCCGTACGACAGCCTTCTTGGGGTGTTAGGGACTGGCTGCATAGCTTTTGTAACAAGGAGAGTAGAACAGTATGACATAGGTTTGGTCTTTTCTAGGAGCTCAAAGGATTGTAGTTCTGAGACTGCTAACCTAGAGTGCCTAAGGCGGGGAGAGGCAGCCTGATAGTGATCAGAAAGGAGTATAATGTACTCCAAACAGGTCTCCAGCTTCAACATCACTGCCATTTGCTGTGGAGCATCCTAGGTGTCAGTTGCTCTCCCTGGTTATGATGATTGGATGTCCTGGATGGTGCCAGGTACCTGCTGGTAGATAGCATTACTTCCTGTGTTGGGTCCTCAGTCATTTGCCCACATCCCTTCTCCAGACTGTTAGAACTCAGACAAGATTCAGAAATGGGTATTATCCTTTCTTGGTGTTTGAATGCTGTTCCTCAGGCTTTGGTCAGGTTTACTCTTGTTGCCTACTTACTTGATGCCCTGCAGATCTCTGTTTTAGGAAACATGATATGCCCAGGGAAAGAATGTTTTGGCAGTGTTTACTATCTGAGACTAAATGGAGGTTGACAGATGCAAGATGGGGGGTTACACTTTGCTCAGAAACCACAAGGTTTTGCCAGAGAGCAAAACCTTGTCATGTCATGTTCTCTGTATGTGGGTAAATATGGATTGCTGTGCTACCTTCTGAAAGGAACAAGCACCTCTTTCATTGTCCTGATCTTGTTTACATTGGCTCTGGCTGTGCCAAAAAGAAAGCATAGAATTAAGTGACTGACTCCAGCATGAGGTTTATCTGGAAGACTTGTAGGTGCTAGTAGTGTCACAGTGTCTGGTGAAGCTGCTGTGCTGAGTGGGAAGCAGCTTTCCATAGGATACAGACTGGAACCTGAGCACTCAGCCTGAGGATGTGCTCTTGCTCTTGCAAGCTTTCTCATCTGCTTTTCTTGGACTACCAGCCCACAGATAACTACACAGAAACTTCATATCAATTATAAAAGCTTGGCCATTAGCTTATGCTGGTCCCACCAGCTTTTATAACTCAAATTAACCTGTTTCTATTCATCTATGTCCTACCACGTGACTCAGTTACCTCTGCTCTGAATCATATGTCTGACTTCTTCAGAGTCTCCTTGGTGTGTCTCTGGCCTAATCTGCAGGCACCTAGATTCCTCCTGCTCTTCCTGTCTTTCCCCAGAAATCCTCTCTCTCCTGCTTAACTATTGGCCATTCAGCTCTTTATGAAACCAATCACAATGACACATCTTCACACAGTGTAAACAAATATTTTGAAACGATGTGCCCCTAGCACTTCCACCAGTCCAAAATCTAGTCAGTACAATAGTTTAAAGGTGAAATACTAGGAAGAAACTAGAATTCAGTGTCAGTAAAAGTCTTGAATAGTTGGTGAGTTTTTGTCAACACCTGGTGCTGCCAGATAAGACCTAGCAGCTTTATTAACTGTTTATTCCATTTCTGATATATCCCAAAGTACATTGAGACTACACCCTCCTTCAGTAACTCCTCAGCAGAAAACATTGAAGAGTTTACAGATGCTTTTGGTAAATGTTAACAGGGCATTTTGTGGGGTGGGAGAACGGCTCTTTGTGATAGGATCTGGGTAGGAAAATACTGCAATTTTTCTCTTTTGGCCTTTTTTTTTTTTTTTTTTTTTTTAAAGAAAATGGCCCCCAAAGGGATTGGTACTATTAGGAGGTGTGGCCTTGTTAGATGAAGCATGTCACTGTGGGGGCGGACTTTGAGGTCTCTTTTGCTCAAGCTTCCCTCAGTGTGACAGTCAGTCAAGTACCTGTTGCCTGCATGATGTAGGACTCTCAGCTCCAGCACCACATCTGCCTGCATGCCACCATGCTCCCCACCATGATGATAATGGACTGAACCTCTGAACTATAAGGTAGCTGCCCCAATTAAATGTTTTCCTTCTAAGAGTTGCCTTGGTCATGGTGTCTCTTCACAGCATTAAAAAAACAAACTAAGACTGTCTGTTGCCCTGGCTGGACTGGAACTCATTTCGTAGACCAGACTGGTGATCTTCCTTCCTCTGCCTTCCAAGTGCTCAGATAAACTTGGCAGTGTTTATCTTCTGTCTTTGGCTTTTTGTCAAGGTCTCAAATTCACAGTCTTTCTGCTCTGCCCCTTGAGTGTTAGAGTTAATGTTCTGGACCACCATGCCTGGCACATAATTAGTCTTGAACCATTGAATATCACTAGAGACCGTGCAGCATGTAGGTGAATTCGATGTTGGAGTAAAAGATGCCTGTGATCCCTCACTGCCTTGTGAAAGTTCCCAAAGTCCCACTGTGAAGCCACGTGTCTGCCTAGTCTCTCCAGCATATCTCCACTGGCCTTGCTTACACATTCTGTTTGCCGTGATTGGGGTGTGTTGGGGTTGTTTGGGAGTGCTAGGATGAAGCCAGGACTGTGCCTGTGCTAGATAAGCGCTGGACAACTGATCTGCAGCCTCAGCCCTGCTGTTTTTCTTTCTTGTCCTCCCATAAGAAATTTGGTTTTCAAAATCTAAATAACATTACTTAGAAATATTTGACAGGTTTAATAATTTTAAAACTGAATTGCTAAAAATGTAATGAATTTTTCTATATGAATTAATTCTAAGTGCCCACATTTACATTGAAATACTTTTCAAATCACAGTGGAAAGCACTTGCCAATGCCTATGTTTTCTAGTGTCTGGCCCCAGTTACTTATTTTGGCATCTTAGACCCCCGTAAGGTTAAAGCATCCGTGTTCATAACTGTCAGCAGAGTGGGGGTAGCTCATCCCCAAGTCATGGCACAGACAGCACTTAGGTTTTTTCTTTAAATGGCTGATTTCATTTGTTCCCGAGCAACAAAACAAAACAAAAAAAAAGCAGTAGGTAGCAGCACTTTCCAGGCATGGATCTACTTTGGGTTCTGGATTTTGCTAGCATGAATGACTGGCTTCAGAGTAGCCATGAGCCTGTAGCTGGAAGGTTCTTCACCATGCTTTATCAGGAACCTTCTCCTAATTGGTTTTATAGTCACTTGCTTCCTAGGCTTCACCACTAGTTAGTTTGTGGCAGTTTGCTGAAGGTAAAGTGCACCACAAAAGACATTCTCGATCTTTTCCAGCCAGGGATCTGTGAGCTCAGGAATCCTTTGCAGTGACTGTATTTTATCCAGTCTCCAAATGCCATGGATTAACAAAAACACTATTATTCCCCATTGAAAAGGAAAGTGCTGGGCTGGAGAGATGGCTCAGTGATTGAGCACTCACTGGCTTCTTCCAGAGGTCCTGAGTTCAATTCCCAGCAACCACATGGTGGCTCACAACCATCTGTAATGAGATCTGGTACCCTCTTCTGTCCTGCAAGGATACATGCAGACATTACATTGTATATATAATAAATTTAAAAGAAAGAAAGAAAAGGAAAGTGCTGCCATCTATCACATATCCCCCCAGCTGTTAAGTACATCAAGACACCATGGCATGCATCCCTCCTAAATAGCAATTTGCTGTTAATGTAATGCAGTCATGCTACCTGCATCTTTTGTAGCCTTTTGACAATATATTCCTAGAACTTGTTTGCATGTGGTAGAAGTCCCTAGAATAAACATAGAAGAAATTAGGGGTTTTGTTAGCTTAAGATCAAAATAGCATCAGTTAGGCTAGAGAGATAGCTCAGTAGCCTAAAGTGCAAGCAGGATGTGGTAGTATGTCTCTGCAGTCCCAGCACTCCTATATGGAAAGTGGAAACAGGAGAATCACCCAGAAGCTCACAAGCCAGATAGATGCCCTAGAGTGCACAGACCAACACCAGAGACAGAGAGGCTGTACCTCAAACAAATTCCCAAAAAAGATGTCTTCTGACCTTCATGTACACAATGTGGTAAAAAACAACAACAACAAAAAACACATATGCACACATACAGATTAAACATGTAAAATATGGTCAGTTTACTAGTTTACTTCACCAACAATGGTTATAAAATGTAATTTAAAAATACCATTTATGGTAGTGTACACCTTAAATATTGTCAACAATGTAATTTTTTAACTTT